AACTGAGGCTCGGGGAGGTTAAGTGTCTTGCTCCAAAATCCATAACTAGTAAGTGGTCAAGTCAGGATTTGAACCTGGGACTGTCTGACCCTGCAGTCCATGTTCCTGCCAATGGAGAGGAGTAGAAGATGAAGGTGGAGACACAGGCCTTCCATATGAGAAGGAAACGTTACTCTAGTGGCCAAGCCAGAGGTATGGACATTGGATATATACATGCTAGCCTGAGTTTCGTCACAAGTTACCACTGCCCATTCACCATGTGCCAGGCTCAGGGGTCCTGGAGGCTGGAGGTAATGGGGTGTGGGCCCTGCCTCGGAGGCTGTGTGGGAGACAGATGCACAAACAGATGACAACAGCACCTGTGACCCAGGCTGGGCAGAGGGACAATCAGGGGCTACAGCCTTACCCTAGAGGTTTGTATTAGCCCCGGGAGGTGGTGATGCAGGGGCGGGTCTGGAAGGAAGGAGAGGAGTCGAGGTGAAGGGGGGCTGCGAGGGTGGGAAGGCTCCAGGCAGAGAAGCAGGAGGGGGCCCAGGGAAGCCAGCCTGGAGGGGGACCTAGGCTAGAATGGGCTCAAGGACCAGATCACAGAGGGCCATGATGTACCTCTAAGGTCAGGGGCAGACCCTCCCCAGGAGGTGCAGGGAGTCCAGAGGGTGCTGGGTGGGGAGGACATCTGACCTTGGACAGATAAGCAATTTTGTGTATAGGAGGGACGGGGGAGGGGCTCAGGCTGAAGGTCAGGGGCACGTGGAGGCTGGGGTTGGAACTCAGACCATAGGTGACTGTGGCCTGATCAAGGCAGTGATGACCATGGGAACAGAGAGAAGAGGAAATGGGCAACCCATTGGGAGGGAGAGGGGGTCAAGGGTGACTCCAGGGTCAAGCCTGGATGGGAGGGTGTTTGGTGGTGACAGCAGCTTAGCAGGGACACAGAAAGGGCTGAGATGCCCCAAGGAAAGCTAGAGAGGATGAGGATGGGAGCGGGCATGCCTGGGAGAAGGGTGCGGGAAAGCTGGAGAGGCTCGGTGGGGAGGGGCACATGGCCTCTCTGGTCTTCCTGAGGTGCTGAGGGAGTGGGCGGGGGTGTGGGAGGGGAGTGTGGGGCGAAGGGAGGCTAGATGGACGAGGAGATGATGGTTCCAAACAGCCCGGTAGCACTGAGGACTTGAGGAGGGGCAGCAGCCCAGGTAGGTGTCAACAAGAGGGACCCTTGGGCTGTCCCTGGGTTGGGTTGCCCAGTGAGGAAGGGGCAGGGCTGGGGTACACTGTGGGGGTGGAGCTGAGCCTGGCAAGGAAAGGGTGGGGGCCAGGGTGGGCTCACAGGCTATAAACTTTGCAGAATCTGAACAAGTCACGACTAGGCTCGCACCTTTTAAGTCTCCAGGTGGTAACTGCTAGAGCCAGGATGACTTGTGCCCAACCTTGCAGGGGGCTCCCCGGTCAACAGGGGCCAGACCCTAAAACAGTGTCTTCCAGCACGGGTATTGCGCAGGCTTCCTGTGTGCAGGGGGCTGTGAACAGTGGGCTTGCAGGGGAGATCCCGGCCTGCCACCTTCCTTCCTGAGCAAGGCCGCTGTGCCACTGGGGGCCGGGGGTAGCATGTCAGAACAGAGTTTCCCTGGGGCGCCCACACTGGAAGACATGCAGGCCCCGGGCAGCAGTACAGCAGAATAGAAAGAGCACTGGACTAGGAGTCCAGGGATTCACTCGCAGCTTGGCAGGGCCTCCGTTGCCCCACCAGGCAATCCCTTCTGGCTCTTTGAAGCCATTAATGCCAGCTATAAAAGGAGCACACACGAAGGAGAGGGGTTTTAAGGGAAGCAGTCTGGAGGGTAGGGTGCAAGCTGTTCCACAGGGTGAGCTGAGTAGCCCCACGAGGGAACACAGGCCCCAGTGCCAGGGCCTGGCTGGGAGTTCAAATCCTGTTGGAAAGCTGAGCAAAAGGAGAGATCCCTGTGCGCTCAGGGAAGGCCAGGGAAGGCCCCTCTCTAATGCTGGGGCCCCCAACCCCTGGGCCATGGCCTGGTACTTGTCTGTGGAAAAATTGTCTTCCATGAAACCAGTCTCTGGTGCCAAAAGGGTTGGGGACCGCTGCTTTAATGGCTCATCTCTGTTTCTGATCCCAGCAGTCTCTTAAATGCCACATGGGTGGCCTTTTAAAAGATTTTGAGATAAACAGAGTCCAGTATATAGAACACCTGGAGTGTGTCCGGTGCCATGCTAGGGGCTGTCCATGTGGAACTTCTGTGCCGCCCAGCAACCTTTTAAGTTTCCCATTGTGCCTGTGAGGAGACAGGCTAGGAGAGGCTGGGGAACTTACCTGCATGGCTGTGCTAGAATCTGAACCCAAATCTGAAGTTTCCAGAAAACCGCTTTGATGGGGCTTAGGCCCGTGGGAGAGGTGAGCCCCCTAAACAACCAGCCACTGACAGAAGGCCACCCTTGCAGGCCACGTCCCAGGCAGATGCCCCGTGCCGTGACAGCAGCTCTGCCTCCGGCCACGCACACATGTGTCTGCCCACTCTGCTGCTGACAACGGGACATGACAGATGCATGCTGGAGGGGACGTGGGCGTGATGTGTCTAAGAGGAGACGTGGCGTTGGCTACAGGGACCCCGCCGGCTCCCAGCGCCAGAGCGTGTGGACTTCGTCTGTGTCGGCGTCACTGCTTTCTAACCCAGCCTGGCAGGTGCTTTTGCTGCAGGGGAGCGGGACGAGGGTCTGCACGTGAGGCTGATTCATTTTTGTGGCAGGAGACTGACGAGCTGTCTGAGGGTAAGAGACGCACTCCGGCTGGCCGCCTCCAGGAGAGGGTCGAGCTGGTGGGAGTGAGTTCAGTCACTCTGATGTGGGGAGAGGTGTCTGCAGGCCTTTCCCTTCCTGTTCGCATCGCTCCTGGAGTCTCAAATCCTAAATTACTTTGCATTCAAAACAGATTTATTTTTCAAGTATCAGCCAATTGTCATTTTAAAAACTTTACTCAGAGTGGCCAAAGAGCTCTAGCCACACTTGGGACTGCAAAGGATCGGGATCGGGACTGCGCACTGCCATTTTTCGTTTTTAGAAGGGTGGGTTTAATGTTCAGACTTCATCTGGCTGTTATGCCCACTATAATTATGGATAATTATCACGTCTTGCTGAGAAATCACAGTGGGATAGGGGCGACGCAGAAGACGACAAACTGACAGACACGGTCCCGCCTGGTAGAGTCAGGCCCTAACTAGTCGTATTTAGATTGCAGTCACGGCGTGGCACGCGCAGAATTCTCCCGTGCTGTGTGTTTTGTGGGGGTGGGAGAGGATCGCTAAAAGTGATTCTAAAGCAACAAACGCCTCTCCCAGCAGTACAAGTGGGGGTCATCAGGAATCTAAAAGGTGGTAAGAAGAGGGGAAAGAAATAAATGAAAGGACTAAAAAGAAACTGAAAAGGAGGCTTTGTTTGTGGCATGCTCACAGACAGAATATCAGTCTTTCAGTAAACACTGCAGGTGCCAGTGCGGCAGGCCTCTGGTTCTCATTCTTTAGTGCAGCAAATATTATCAAATGCCCACCTCGTGCCTGATTCCAAGCATGCCAATCTTTTAAAATAGGTAAAAATCCCTTTGTGTCAAATTCTGTTGCTGTACATGTTACAATCATTGATTGGTAAGACACATTTTTTATTATTATTATTTTTAGAGAAAAGGCCTCACTCTTGCCACCTGCACTAGAGTGCAATGGCATCATCATAGCTCAATGTAACTTGAATTCCTAGTCTCAAGCAATCCTTCTGCCTCAGCCTCCCGAGTAGCTGGGACCTTATAGATGCATGCCACCACTCCTAGCTAATTTTTTTAAAAATTTGTTTTAGAGATGGAGTCTTACTAGTTATCCAGGCTGGCCTTCCAAAGGGCTGGGATTATAGGTGTAAGCCATAGTGCTCAGCCACTTTTTTAAAAATTAGAATCTTTAGATTTGTAAAGGTTAGTATGCTTTTTTTACTCAGTGATTCAAATCCTGAAACAGACTCTGATAAGGACAAATAGTTTTTAAAATACAGTGGAAGAATTTATGACATAGAATCAATCATGGCACTTGGCATCCCATCCATTTCTGATGTGGGCCATGTACTGTTGGGGACCAGGGTTAAGTAAGAGAGGGGCCCTGCACAGAGAGGTGGGGTGAGGGCTGGGGCGGTGAAGGGCAGCGAGCAGGAGCCCAGATGGGTGAGATGGGGGAGAGGGTCTGTGGGCCTGGAACCAAACCAAAGCTGGGCACACAAGAAGCTCATGAGGTCGGCAGTGGAAACACGGATGAGCCAGCAAAAAATAAGAGGCTCCACTCAGGTCAGCTTCTCACATAGCTTCCAGAGCCTCTACAGGTAGCAGACTGGCTTCTGCTCACACACCCACAGTGAGCTTGACTCGAAGTGCTGTCACTTCCTAGCTGTGTGACATTGGGCTTGTTTCTCAGTTTCTCTGTGCTTCAGTGTCTCATCTGTAACATGGAGCCTGTTCTTATAGGCTTGTTGTGAGGACCCCATGAGTTAATTCATTTAAAGTGTTTGGCACAGCACTTAGTAAATGTTAGACACTGGTATTCAGAGGAGTGAAGTGGGTATTTTTCATCTCTTACTCCATGTCCAAACCTTCCCGTCTCATGTGGCTCCTTTGTAGAAAGTGGCCCCGGGCCAGCGTGGGACTTAATCCTGAGAGATGGAGGCAAAGGTGCGGGGCCACTCTAAGAGATGATTTGCAGGGCTGGTGGCCGTGTGGGGAAGGGTGGCTATGCCAGTGTGGCGGGGCAGCCAGACCACCCCTGTGCTAACTTGGCATAACCTCCCTGCCTCACCTACCTGGCTCCTGCCCGCTGCTCTTCCAGTAAATTCCTGTGGTATGCAACCAACAGCCCCAAGTAGAGCCATGCTCAATGGTGGTGTCAAAACCACTGTCCACTAGGGACCCCAGGGGAGGGAGCACTGTGCTCTGAACCCCCTTAGACTAGTGAGTGGGGGTCAGCTCAGAGAATAGGCCTAAAATCTGCGAGAGAATAAAGAACGACCTCAGAGCATAGGGCAAGACCCTAGGCAGAAATCCCTCAGCCTGAGCTCTCTGACAACTGCCCAGAGCAGCCAGGAACATCTGGCAGATCCTTGGGAGTCCAGGAAAAACACACATTTGCCTCTGACCTTGGAGATGCAGGGGGCAGGGAGGCCAGGGGGTGGAGGAGATGACCTGGATCCTAAACCACGCTATTTTTGGTCTCCAATCCTCTATTACTGTTTTCTGCCAACTGCTTTCCTCGCAGGGAGCATGAGATTTTCCTTCGAGTAGGGCAAGGTTGTGTTTATCAACTCGTTGCAAATTACATGGTAAACACTGATCCCCTGGTTGAGGCAGTTACTGAGTCTCTTTGTTAGATTAATAAGATTACAACAATCTGGGCAGACTTTCAAGTGTTTATTTTCAAAACTCACTTCCGAGGGTGGTAGGAACATAGTATCAGGCCTGACTGGATTCGGGTATTTGGATAGAGCTCATTTCTGTTCCAAGTGCCTGTTCTCCACATTCAAGAAGAAAAAGGGTCATTACTCCTCAACCTCTGACAAGCTATAGTCACGTACCCTATAGCCCAATCTCTATTCAAAGAGTTCATATTTCTTTTAGCACCTACGTGGTTGCCAGCCTTGTCCACAGACTTTAAATGGCTTTCACAGGGCAACCTTCACAGTGAGTCACTTCCTGCACACTTCAAAAGCGCTTAGGCAGGCAGACTGTCCAGTTTGTAACTATATGCATTTCAGTGAAATTTACTGAAAGTGAAATTTCTGTAACATCCTGCTGACTTGAATTATTACATTACGGATGGCGTATCTCCCTGGCAAAAACAGGCCACCTCCACCCCTCAGTGGTGCGAAGGAAGGCTGAGGGCTACGGCGAGGCACAGCACAGGTGGCGGTCGGGGCGGCTGTCCTCGCTAATCGGCAGAGCTGTCCATCACTGGCTCCCTCGGATTCATGGGGTTGCCCTGTCCCCACATGAGGACTTCGGGGATAAAACAGTGACTCAGAACACCTCTGCCCTCCACCGGCTTGCATCTTCTGAGCACACAGCTGCTCAGAACCTTCCCCTCAGGCCCAGGCTACCTTTGCGACCTCTGGTTCCACCATAATCTCCCGTACCCACTGTCCTCCCACTACCCACAGCCCCTGACCCACAGCTTGGCTCCAGACTCCCTAAGGCAGCCTCACGCCCCCTGGCTCTGACTGACCCCATCCAGTGCCCTCCGTGCCCTTCCCTGCCTCCTCCCATCCTTCCAGACCTGAGGACAGGGCTGCTCTTTGGAGCTCAACCCTAAGCCCTGGCTCCTCCCGCATTCCGCGGCACCCAGCTCGGTCACCGGCAAGCCCCCTGCCCCGCCGGTTTGAGCCCTGACTGCACCCCTGTCTGATCCCCCCGTGTGGCTATGAGCAGTTTGGGGGCATTTCGGATTCGTCTTTGTATCCTCCGTGCTGAGCTTAGGATGTATCACATATTGGGAATTTAGTAAATGTTAAATGAGTGAATGGATGAATGAAGAGAAACATGAATGAATATGTTCATAGAGATACAAATGATAGCTTTATCCACAGGGCTTTTCGGTTTACAACAGTTTCATGCCCATGAATTTATATGATTCTCATACCAAGTTAGAAAGGTAGTTACCATTGCATGAATTTCATGAAGAGGCTAAATAATAATAATAACTCCAACATCTGAAGGCTGTGTATCAGGCACTTAATAAACATGCTCTACTAATCCTATAAGGACTGTGCAAGGTGAGCAGTCATCTTTCACTGTTGGGGAAACTGAGCCTTGGCAACTTGTCGAAAGCCTGAGCTAGGATTGGAACCCACATCCTGGGACTCCAGAACCTGTGTTTAGTCCCTGATCCAATGTTGGCAGACAGGAGGATGAAGCCCATCCCAGCCAGATAAAGGGCCTGAGCTAAGTCCTGAAGGACGGAAGCAGAGACCAAGCGAGGGGCAGACGGGCTGGTCAGCGGGGCTGCCGTGGTCAAAGGAGGAGGGCAGGTGGAGGGGCAGAGCCAGGCTGGGGGGCTGGGACCTGAGGGACAGTGGGAAATGACCAATGCCCATGGCCAGGAGGGATCCCGTCCTAACAGGCCTCACATGCGCCAGGGGCAAGGCACTGCATCTTGTCCGCAGTGGTTCCCATGTGGGTGGGGGCTGCACACCGCGGGCCTCTGAAGTGTTCTTCTGTGTCAGTGGGGAAGGAGGCTGGAGGCAAGAAGGCGAGTTACAGGCTGTGGCAATAATTTGGACCAGCCATAAGGTGACCTACCATGGGTAGTGGAGTAGAAATAAAAATGGGGAAACAGATATGTGAAATGTTAAGAATATTTCCCAAGCTTTCCTATCTCCCCCTCTGCTCTTAGCTCAAAGAAATGTCTCCTCTGGAAAAAAAATCCCCCCTTCTTTGCTTGTTCAGGCCTCTGTGGCCCTTGTATTTACTGTTCCCTCCGTCTCCGAAGCTCTTCCCCCACCTACGACCACCTATCTGGAGAATACCTGTTCATCCTTTAAGACCTTGTGAGTCCCCCTTTGTACACCTTGACACCTGGTATATACTTCTGCTGGGACACCAGTGCCAGGGTAGTTTGTTTACATATCTGCCTCTCCTGGTAGACGGTGAACTCCTTAATGGTTGGGACTATTCTCATCTTCATGTTCCTGTGCCTAGGGCAATGCTTGACTCATGGTAGGCAGGGAGTTGAGTGAATGAATGAATGTGTGCATGAATGAGTAAACAAATAAATGAATGAGTGAAGACATTGTTCTCTTCCCTCTTTTCCCACATCTTGGGACTCCAGAACCTTTGTTTAGTTCCTGACATTTTATTGGTGATGTCCAATAAAAGTAAGCTAAATTTATTTTCTCTCAGACAATGTATTCATACTTTGTTTTGAAAAATGCCTTCGAGTTAAACTTTGTTTTTGTAAAACTAATGAGTATGTCATTCAGCAAGTTTGAAACACCAAAACAAGCAAAAAATGTTTGGGTGCAAGGGCAAGGAAAGAAGAGGAGGAAGAGGACATGTGATCCAGGGCATGGGAGTGGAGAGGCGTTCTATGACAAGTGACCTCAGTCACAGTTTTTTCTTCACTTTCCATTAGCCCACAAGAGGGACCAGTGAGAAAAGTGTTGGAAATGGTAAGGAACACCATGAAAGAGACGTATGATCATTATTCTGCCTGGTGGTAAAATATTGCCTTGTGAATTCAGTGCTAGCTTCCCACGCTCACCAAAAGAAAAGGATGATTTTAATATTAAATGTATTCCTTTCACTAATACATACATTAATTAGGGAGAAAACATTTCCCAACATATAAAATTAAATCTCTTAATAAGCACAGGCTTTACCGAAAAGTAGGAAGTGCACGAAGACTAGCAGCATAACCTTAGATGTGAAGCCATCTGTGATTTTACAACAAGCATTTTTGCTAACTTGAGGTGGCACGCTGTTGTGAAATGCTAAATTAAATACCACTTAACATTATTATGGCTTCAAAAAGTAGTTACAGGCTTCAATGAGCACACTTTTATCACAAGAACACACAATCTAAAGCCAAAATAGTTCAGTTTAATGTGCCAAAAATATGCTCACCCCATACATTGTTAGAAAGAGCAATAGGAAAAGAAATCTAAAATTTGCTGCTATTTCATTTGATGGCAGCCAACATCTCCTGTCTTCCTTGGCAAGAAGTCCATTTTTCTATGCTGTATTTTGCACACAGAAATCTGCATAGACTGATTTGCATACCAAAAACACATTTGTAAAAGAAACTGTTTGCATAGAAGCCAGGGGGAAATAGGGTTGTCACTGTTGGCTTCTATACACACACCACCCCCAGGGTACTTGCTTTTCACTTTCCTATGAGCTGAATTTCCCACAAAGCGTTATATACTTTATGATGCATCAAAAATTAAAGCAATTATATCCTGTATATATCCAAGAACAACCACCACAACAACAACACAGGCTAAATCTTTCCTTGCAAACTGCCTGTCAATTTTTTACTAAGAGGCTGGTAATAATTCTAAGTGCTATAATATATTAAGCTTTTATTATATACCATGTGTTTTACTTAACTTATTGCTTATTCTCATAATCAGTCTTCAAGGTAGGTGCTGTGGTTCCTGATTTTACATATGGGGAAACTGAGGCATGGCAAGGTGAGGTAACCTGCCAAAGCCATGCAAGCCAGGAGTGGTGAAGCCAGGTTTGGAAACCTGGTCTGACTGCTCAGTCCTTTCCTGCCACCCCCACCCCCAACTGCCTCTCTCTTTCCCCAGTTGTGCTGCATATAATGTCTTTTTCCCAACTCTACCAGCCTGGGGGTAAGGGGAAGTCATGCTGGGAGTGGGGAACTACTTTGGTTTCCTGGTATTTTTTCTGACCAGAACCTGGAAGCAGGACAACCTCAGTCTCAAGGCCCAGTGACGGTGCCCAGTAAACTAGCTCAGTGACAGACATGGGGTGAATGGGCAATGGCCTGTGATTCTGAGGGTGTTGAGGAGAGAGACGGATTGGTCACTGCACAAAGACCCTACATGGTAGTTGAGATGCAACGGAACCCTCCTGCTTGGTGCCCATGTGCTATCACCAATTCAGTGCCAGCCCAGCTGTATTCTTGGAAACACAGAATGGTTTTGTGTGTGCTTAATTATAATGCTACTTACAGAGATTTTATCAGTAGCAAATCAGATGCTTGATGTTTTTCTTAAGAAAAAAAATTGGTAGTGGCTCTTTGAAATTTGTTCATCTGATGAATCCTTTGGATTTTTCCAGTGTACAGTATTTGAAAACAAATGGCCATTTCTGGAAAGTCAAGGGGGAAAAAGTGCAGAATTAAGAGACCACAGATGTTCACAAAAAAGATTATAAACATTTACTTTCTTTTCAGATGTTTCTTTATTTTTGTGTTGTTTCTCACCTAGTTTCCTATTATCCATGAATCCATCATGTCCAAAGACTCCCAGCTTTGAGACCTAATTATGTATTACTCACTGTTAGAAAGCTGTTTTTCTGGCACTTTCGGTAATAAATTCCTTTTGATGTGATGTACAGTAACTGTCTCATAGCAAGTTCCAGGCTAAAACAAGTAATGTGACAACAAACTGCTTTGGTGGCAGACAGATCTGCTTTGAATTCTGGTTTTGTCACTACAGTTTGACTTTCCTTACTTAATCTCTCTGAGCCTCAGCTTCCTTGTCTGTAAAATAGGGAAAATATCACAAGGCAGGTCCTGGTTGCCTACCTAATAGCCATTTCCCTCCCCTTCCTTATTAACAACAACAACAGATATAAACAAATTTTGTTTGGGTCACAGTGTTGTTGATTCCAGCAGATGAGCTGCCTTGACCTAAGTACTCATTCCTATGTGCCAGTGATTGGCCTATAGGGTCTACAAGAAGGCATGTGACTTGATTCTGTCCAGTGAGGCTGAAAGGGAAATTAGCCAGAAGCTTCTGAGAAAGATTTTCCTCTCTGATAAGAAAGATAAATGAAGAGAAAGCCCCATTTGCCTTTGCCTCCTTGCTTCTCACACTGGATGCTGTTGTTAAGACGTGATGTTGGTGCTGTGGCAGTCATATCATGAACATGAGGGGGAACATTACTACCGTGTTTACCCGAAAATAAAACCTACCCATAAAATAAGCCCTAGCAGGATTTCTAAGCATTTGCACAATATAAGCCCTACCCCGAAAATAAGACCTAGTGATAAGGCGTGGCTACGCAGCCTATCGGCACAACACATGCATTTCGTTGCAGAGCGGTAAAGAAGACGAGTAGCCCTTCTCATCTGCCCCATCCTGACAGCCACTATCCCAGAGGTGACCGGAAAGTTGCGGGCAGCCCCACCAACAAGGTCGGCTCCCCCTGTCAGGTCCCAGCCATTCTGTGCGTGCTGCAAGCTGAGGCTTTGAGGGGAAAATAAAACACATGCCCTGAAAATAAGCCCTAGGATGTCTTTTTGAGGAAAACTAAATATAAGACTCTGTCTTATTTTCGGGGAAACACAGCAACACAGTAAAGATGGCAGAGCAGAAGGACCGAAAGGGTTTGGGTCCTTGGGGACAACACTAATCTATTGAACCAACCCTGGCTGACATACCTCCAGATTCTTGCTAAGAATAAATGTCTTTATGGTTTAACCTGTTGTGTATTGGGTTTTGTGTTGCTTACAGCCAAAAAACAAAACAAAACAACCCCCCCAAAATACTAACTTAAATAAATACCAACACCACAAGATGGTTATAATAAATGATACGTTATATGTAAAGTACTTAGCACAATACCTGACACAATAAATAGCAGTAAATGGCTGCTACAAGTAATAGTAATAGCATTGATCAAATATAGGTAACAATTTAGAGGAACAAAAATATCAAAATACAAGACAGATAGGATGAATGGTACTGATTTAGCATGACAAAAAAGCTTTATACTCTTGGTAAAGGAGGGGTAAGGAGACATTGAGGTATAAGACATTGATTACAGTGACAAATTCTAATATCTGGGAGTAAGATGCAACTCCAGCCCAACACAAACGCAGTTGGAGATGAAAGAGCTGCGGTTTTTGGCCAGGTTTCCATCCACCCTCTCACAAACGGACAATCACCCTGTCAGCAGCTCCAATCCTTGTCTAAAGCCTAACAATTATGTGTATGTGAATTACCAGCCTTGCAAAGGGGCACAGTACTTTTAACCCACAGAATCTCTTTCCAGAATACTAAATGTAGTATTTTCTAAAAACACATTTTATTTCTTTATGGCAGGAAAGATAAGCACACTGATATATAAAATATGATTTAGGAATATAATTTCCTTAGATATAGCTTACCATTTGGATCACTGTGGTAAATCATAGGACTACAGTTTACACATGAAATCACCAATTTTTGAAATACAGCCTACTATAGCACAAAGTAAGAACAAATTAAGATAACATGTGAAAGTACCTAGCATAATAGAGGCAATACCTCTATTATTATAGAAGTAATATAGTAGAAAATAATCTTAAAGTGATCCATATTTTTTTCATCACTCTATGTTTTAGCAAAGAGACAAATGTCAAGATTACAAATTAACCCTGCGGTGGGGATGGGTATATTCACACCCAATGGGTGCAGTGTGCACTCTCTTAGGGATGGACACACTTGAAGCTCTGACTCAGGCAGGGCGAAGGCAATATATATAACCTAACCATTTGTACCCCCATAATATGCTAAAATAAAAAGAAAAAATAAACTTTGTATAAATAAATCACACACACACAAATTAATCCTGGGGATTAAACACACGCATACACATTCACTTCCATGTTCACTATGTCTAGGGTCAGTGTATATTATCTGAAGGCCCTCTACTTTCTATGGCTTTGGCACTATACAACAAGCATTGGTTTTATATAGGGCCATGGGGCTTTACAAATCTTAGAATTAGTCATCATGTTCAGCATCTCTCTGATAAAGAAAAAACAGACATATAGAAAAAAATTCATCAAGAATTGAAAGCAAAAGGGTATTACTATTTACCTCGCAGTTAGTTAAATAAAACCACCAATTCCTGAACATTTTGGTTAGCTGAGATTTGCTTGTGTGCTATACTCACATGCCTCCTTCTTCCTTTACATTAAAGGGCAAATTTGGTTGTAGCTCAAATTTTACAATGTGAAGTGATTTTTCAAAATCAAAGATCTCAGCTTCACTATAGACTAAGATAGCATTCATTCCTTAAAGGCAGTTTCTACTCTTTACAATATGGTAGATTTCTTGATACTTGTTTTTATGGAATTTAATGTGACTGTGTCACAGCCAGCTGTTTACTTTTGTAGCTATGGTCTTAACTGGATTTAGGAAGATAGAGTTAAGGGCTGTACCTTTAGAAACAAATAGGTATTTGAGGTGCATTTTATATCCTCATATTTGATAATACCTTCATTGAGATATAATTCATATACCATGAAATTCGTTTTAAAGTATACAATTCAGTGGTTTTTAGTATATTCACAAAATTGTGCACCATCACCACTAATTCAGGAACACTTTCATCACCCCCTAAAGAAACCCTGTACCCATTAGCAGCCACTCGCCATTCCTCCCTCCCCCCTCCCCCCACCACTCTAGCCCCTGGCACCAAGGTACTTTCTATTTCTATGGATTTGCCTAATCTGGACATTTCATATAAATGGAATCACAATATATGGCCTTTTATGTCTAGATTCTTTCACCAAGCATGACGATTTCAAGGTTCATCCATGTCATCGCCTGTATTTTATTTCTTTTTAAGGAATATAGTACTTCATTACTTTTTATGGTGAAAATATTCCATTGTATGGATATATGACAGTTTTATCCATTCATTAGTTGATGGACATTTGGGTTGTTTCTACTTTCAGGCTACTATGAATAAAGTGTCTCATAACTGTTTTTATGGAGGTGAAATTCATATAACAATTAAACATTTTGAAATGTACAATTAAGTGGCATTTAGTGTTGTTCAACCACCACCTCTCTCTACTCTCAAAACTATTTTATCACCCTGGAAAAATAACCCATATCCATTGAATGATCAATTCCTGCCATGGTTTAAATGTGTCCCCCAAAGTTTGTGTGTTGGAAATTTAATCCCCAATGCACCAGTCTTGAGAGTTGGGACCTTTAAAGAGGTGATTAGGTCATGAGGGCAGAACCCTCATGGATTAATGTCATTATTTCAATAGTGGGGTTATTAGCTCAAGAGTGGATTTGTTATAAGAGTGAATTTGGGCCTGGCATGGTGGCCCGTGCCGGTAATCCCAGCTATTTGAGAGGCTGAGGCAGAAGGATGGCTTGAGACCGGGAGTTTGAGATCAGCCTAGGCAACAGAGCAAGACTCTGTCACTTAAAAAATTTTTTTCTTTTTCTTTCTAAAGCTAATTTGGCCCTCTCTTGTTTTATTGCTCTCTCCCTTTCTTGCCCTTTTGCCTTCCACCATGGAATTGATGCAATATGAAGGCCCTTTCAAGATACTGGCACCATACTCTTGGACTCCCCAGCCTCCAGAACTGTGAGCCAGATAAACTTCTATTGATTATAAATTACCCAGTCAGTGGTATTCTGTTAAAACCTCACGGAACAGATTAAGACACTTCCCATTCCTCCCCCCCCCCACTCATGTTTCTTGTCTCTGTGGACTTGCCTGTTTTAGATATATCATATAAAAAGAGTCACACAATATGTGACCTTTTGTATCTGACTTCTTTAACTTAAGATAATGTTTCAAGGTTCATCCAAGATGTAGCATGTATCAGTACTTCATTCCTTTTTATGGTTGAATAATATTCCCTCGTATGTATATGCCACAATGTGTTCGTCCACTCATTAATTGATGGATATGTGGGCTCTTTCCACATTTTGACTTCTCAGGATAGTTTAACATCCCTGCTGTCATTACCCTAGTCCATGCTACCATTCTCTTTCACCCAGATTACAATATTTTAACCACTTCAGTACAAGTGTCGGCAATAGTCAATAGCCACAGATGAATGTGCACAGCCACTTCATCTGACAGCCGTGATACTTTTCTAATTTTTCATTTATCAAAATTGTGAACATTTAAAAATAACATAATAAAAACATATATGTATATGTTACCTATTCTGATTTACAAGTAAAGCTGCCTGTAAAGTAAAACAAGCTTTCAGTTCTTTAAAGCTTTCCTCATCACACAAGAGCAAAACGGATTCCTCGTCAATGCACAGCACAAACTATCGTGGGGACTTCAAGTGCTGGCTATGGGCAAGGTTTCGCAGCCAGTGAGTGCCATACTGAAGT